GAATTTTTCATTTTTGAAACTCAAGAAATCATGCCATGCCAAACTAGTGTAGACTTGCTTCGGATGTTTTGGATGTTTTGTTTCATGATCTACATTCTGTATGAAAGATCAACATTGGTTGCCTTACATTCTACCGTATTGTCTGTAAGTCGATGTTGTGTGAATTAACTTTTAACTGGAAAGTTTGAGGCCGTTATATTGTACCAACAACTGATCACAACTTATAGAAACTTAACAACTATCCCCAGACAGTGTCCTCCTACACTTGAGGGGCGGTGGGGTAGCCTAGTGGAAAAAGCGTTGGCTCGTCACGCCGAAGGCCCGGGTTCGACTCCCCACATGGGCACAATGTGTTAAGCCCATTTCTGGTGTACCCCGCCGTGATATTGCTGGAATATTGCTAAAAGCGCCGTAAAACTAAACTCAGTCAGTCAGTCAGTCCTACACTTGACTGTCTGTAAATGATTACCAATGTCAACACACATCCAGTATGCAAATACAGTTAATTAATTCATGCATATTATTTCTGTCAAGTTCATTACATAAACAAAGACAAAAGAGAGCAGTGCAGCATCAGTTGTTACATATAAGGAATGATTGGGGGGATGAACTATTCCTATACACTGAGATACCACAAAGGTTGGGGGATGATTTGATTGCCTTTTCTCACAGGATGCACTCATTAACCCCTGGCAATCACACTGTGATAGCCATGTTACCTGTCCGTCAGTTGTCATTCAGCTTGCCATCAACGATCTGTCAACTGTCAGGCAGAGGTAGCTATATCCTACATAGCTCCATATATCATAATAATCATCAGAAGAACTAGAACGGGCCCCATCATCATCATCATCATCATCATCATCATCATCACTGCATAAATATTTCATTGAGTGAGATGTTTTGGCCAGAGACCAGGAACCAGATAAGGCCCCATACAAGGTCCTGGCAGGTGGTCTAAGAAGACAATGCCCCTATGTCAAAAGAATCTTTATATTATTATGTCAGGGGTTAGCCAAACCTTCCCGCGAATTCAAATGTCAGCAAGTCTTCACAAACTTGTATTTTGAATATTCTTTGGGTACAAGTGTCACATTTCCTGAAGTGGTTGACAAAAAAGTGTAATCTGTATTGAAAATGTTAGTCTCAAACCAGATACATGAAAGCTGACAGGTATGCCATCGTTATCAACACAATCCTCATCTCCTTCATCATCATCATCCTCATCAGCAGCAGCAGCAGCACCTTATTCACTATCATCAACATCCATATCCTCATCATAAGATTAACTATATACATGTAACTATATCATCTTCATCATAATGCAGGAGCATGTTAAAGATGTCTAACCCATGACCTGTTCTGTGTTGTTATCTGAAAGGAATAATACCACATAATACCCACGTTTGAGGCATTACAACAATCAGCACACTGACCACAACATACTGGTAGTCCAAAGGACAGGTAGATGAAACACTAGTGCTGTTGTAGACTTACACATTGTCTCTGAAAATGTTTCATTTTGATAGAAACAAATAACACCATTTGAATTGTAAAGGAGCCCCAGTGAGCTTGGGGCCTGCTCCTGAAGAGATCAAGACTTGCTTCATTTTAGACCTCGCAGAAAGAGCTGAGAGGAACACTAGTTGTACACATTTTTGTATAGGTAGATGTTTGAGAATTGCGGTAAATTCATCATTTCCATTCAGAAAAAAAGGATCCCTCATTCACCATTTGACCACCACACCACCATGTATTCATTCCACTGGCATGCAGTTGACCAGTAGATTAAGGCCATGTTTGGTATCACACATAATAATAATACTCACTCATTCACACTCACTAACTCACTCACTCACTCCAGCTTGTGTATGTCTTATTAACCATCAGTAAGTTATGGACCAGCAATACCACACATCAAAAACAGCTCTGCAGCAGACCTTCACCACCCTCACACACATCCACCAAATAATGGTAACATTTCTCACTCTCTGCTATCATTTTGTACCAACAGAACGACATTGAAATACTGAACATTAAATATGTCAAATTGACAACAACAGCTTTACTTCAAATATAAACAAACACAAAGGAGCGTCCAAAAGCTGTGAATGTCTCACTGAATGCAGCTATGCCATACAGTCAATATTCCCCAGTAGAACAGTGACTTCCTCAAACAAATCTATAAGAGCCTTAAAGGGTTTTTACCTAAGTAGAGAACAATCCACAAGCAGCTGTGACCCATTGTTGACATCTGCAGCTCTCTAATCATCAGTAATCGGATCATTTAAGATTATACCACTCAACAAAGGCTACTTCCCAAGACCATACATACTGCCTATTAATTAAATAGGACAATATTGATATATACAGTAATATCAAGTTTTATACAATGGCTTTATTGAGTGGATAATAGCTATTGATTGTCTGGAACTGGTCCTGACTGCAATTACAGTTTCTTGGTCACCACTTAAGAGCTCTTCATTGTGAATGAAAGTAATTATTTGTTGTTTAAACCAGAATAGTCAAAGTATATATATGCTGTATATGATACAAACTGCAATAAAAGAGTTGCGATATGACAAAAATAAGGAATATGATATAAACTGCAATACCAATGTTGCAATGTGACCTAAATGATCAAGTCAGATACAAGCTGCAATAAAAGAGTTGCACTATGACAAAAATATGGAAATATGATATAAGCTGCAATACCAAGGTTGCAATGTGACATAAATTTTTAATACAAACCACAATATAGAGTTGCAATATGACATAAATGTGGAAATGATATACAGACTGTAGAGTTGAAATGTGACATAAATGGTCATATCTGATACAAACTACAATATAATAATTGCAATGAGACATAACTATGGAGATATGATATAGACTGCAATATAAGAGTTGCAATATTTTGAAATATGACTCATTATACTTTAAGTTTTCTTTCTATTTCGAAGCAAAAGCTAATGTGTGTGAGAGGGAACATGCTTTTGTGCCACAGTCAGCCACCAGTAACAGTATTGCCAACTAAAGGACAGTGTCTCTGTCGGCACATCAAAAATCCAGTGACATATATCCTACCGGGATGAAAACTGTTTTCAATAATGCAGAACCTTAGAAAGAGTAATGATTTATGTCTATGTTGTAATGGCATGTACACAAAAAGTGATCTTTGAAGTAATGAAACAAATTCTCATCTTGGATCGCTGGGTCCAGCTCATCAAATGATACATCAATCCAGAACGGTATATGGTCTCTGATCAATCTATATTATATCCTACATGATACTCAACAAAACCATGATAAATGAAATTCTGCAATTTCCTTTGGGTTGCATTATCAATAAATTAAGACATTTTGAATGAATTCTCACAATTGATAACAACAGCTAGTTTATATGTACAAATTTTTGCTAAAATAAATTTCACTGAAGGTATCATGATTGACTTCCGACAATCCAATAATACATAAACTGATTTATTACATTTTCATGGAAATCTGATTATATGAAAAAAAAATTAAATTGATTTCCCTTTTACACAAAGAAAGAGAGACATCAAACACGCTCTGAATCAAATACCAGTCAATTTCACTGATTTTTTTTTTTTCATCAGGGGCAAAATTCTTTGTTTCAAGTCTCAGCAGTTCATGAGTTGCGATGGACCAAACTGGACTGGAAGCAATCAAAACCTGCTAATTATTGAGCCAACCTGGCCGTGTGAGAGGCAGCCTGACACAGACAGCCGGCATGGCGCTGAAGCCATGAGTCATAACACCACTCACAGAACCAACGGTGACTCAAACATTGGTGAGAAATAAATAGAGAATGCACACTGAGGGAAAGCTGGAAGAGTTGCCTCCCTTGGCTCGATCAGCCTTGGCATTGATATTTTATTCAAATACACTGCTGTAAAATATGCTGAAGTTGAATTAATGCTTGAGACTGTACAAATGTGATGAAAGTACACTTATCACAAGAAATAGAAGTTGCTTTATGCTTGTTTGTGTTTTTAGGAAGATTGATTTATGGAGACGGCCAAACAATTCACATAAAAGAAACACACAAGTTTGAGAAGCCTGGAAGAGTTGTCTCCCTTGGATTAAATCATGCCCCAGTATCTTTAGTTATTTTGCTCTTCATATACTCAGTAGCTCCTGCAATTTTTGTGCACACTTGTACAAGTTATGAAAATTAAGATACAAAACAAATAAAAAGAAGCAAATAGTTCTAACCTGCAGACACTGCAGATGTACAAAATTTGTCAGCCATGTAGCCTTTCTTGTTATCATGGGTGTGGGCTATGTATTTTCCCAGAGCAAGGGAGTTAACTGACCATGACGGTCCAGTTCCACCCTTGCCAAACTAGGCTGGAATTTCTGAGTGGGTTGACCAATGAGTCTATGCAGCGTCCTATAAAATTGTGATGTAAAGTAGATGTACTTCGTAAACAACAATGTATAAAGAGGATCTGAAAAACATGTACCATAAACAAGACGTCAACAGACGTTTTCCAAATCTGTTTCAAGTTTTTAATCAAGATTCTCAAGTGATTTGATACACTGTATGAGGTAAAACCCCTTTTATTACTATATATATCCTGATTATCAATCACATCTTCTTGACGAGGCACTGCCATGTTGTTTGCATTGCCAATCCAAGTTATTTGATACAGTTAAAATTTACAAATGCCTTGAAATCTAGTATTGCATAATAACATTTTAAAACATAACGGTTGGTTTTCCCAAATTCACTTCAAAGCTTGGAAAAATCAAACTTTTTCCAGGTCCCCATACGTTTGACCAAACAAGGTTCGACTGTATATTGCCAAAACTGCAAAATGATTGTACAGTCACACAGGCAGACATCCTTATTCATGTTAAGTAACAACACTGTATCGATGCCTGATCTGAGCTGAAATATAGGCATGATAAGGGAGGAAACAGAGTACTGTATTTCAAAAATGTTGGTTGAATACATGCGGACATGTTCCTACCTGTTCATGGGGGTTAAGTCTTTGTTCTTCAAAGCAGAAACACTGTAAGAAAATCATCATCAAATACAATGCCAGTAAACACCAAACCATTCATACATACTTCATTCACCAGCAAAGTGAGTTTAGTTTTACGCTGCCTTCAGCAATATTCCATTAATATAATGGCGGGTGGACACCAGAAATGGGCTTTACACATTTGACTCACGTAAGGGAATAGAACCCAGGTCTTCGGCGTGGCGAGCGAACTCTTTAACCACTTGGCTACCCCACCGCCCTACTGAGCCACAAGAACAGCACCTGATTGTTGTCCAGCACAGTGGTCAGACTCACCATATTTGCTTTATTAAGCAAACAATTTATGCAACATTCCATAGTGTTCTTAAAGGCAAGAATTTTATGCATGTCAACTTCTTTATTGAGATGGACGCGACGTTTCGAAGTATATTCTTAGTAAGAATATACTTCGAAACGTCGTGCCCACTTATGTGTATCAATTCTAAATGCCCTTGAAAGACTCCACAATGTTCTTGTGCATATTACGGAAGCAGGAACCTAGAATGGCTATATAATTGTGTTTTAACTATTATACAATAAGTTGTAGTGTCATCTGTGCTGAAACTAAGCTTATTCAGTAACAGATTTTATAGTTTTCCACAGTTCATAGATTGCTAGTGAATTCCTAAGCTTCTAAGGCTATAATGTTTTCCTGGGGTTTTGTATGCATTGCCTATTGCAACACCACAGAATCAATTTACATTTGTCCTAGGATACACTTGCAAAATCAAAGGAAATGTTTGTAGATGACTCTTTCATCATCATACTGCCATATCTGATATGTTTACAACCATCTCAATGTTGGCTCTTGGTCCTCCCAGACAGAATCCAGCACATCACACGAGCACACGAATACAATGAGTTAATCAGCTTCAAGATGTAAAGAATTTCCACTCCATTTGGTGACAAAAGACAAAATGGCGACTGTTCAACTCATTGAGAGACTTAGATGTATTTGTGTACCGGCAATTCTGTGTACATCATGGTGACATCTCAATACATATACAAAGTTTACATCCACTGATTACCAGCTGGTGACTGCCAGAGAATGGATTGGTTTGTTTGTTTGTTTGTTTAACGCCGCACTCAGCAATATTACAGCAACATGGCAATGGTCTGTAGATAATTGAGTGTGGACTAGACAATCCAGTGATCAACAGCATGAGCATTGATCTACGCAATTGGGATACGATGACATGTGTCAACCAAGTCAGAGAGCCTGACCACCCGATCCGATTAGTCGCCTCTTATGACAAGCATGGGTTACTGAAGATCAATATTCTAACCCGGATCTTCATGGGTTGCCAGAGAATGGAAGTAAGGCAGTCTGCAACCTAACTGAGGCCATTTGTACATCATGCAAAATATAATGTAACCATGGACAATGTAAGATTAAGAAGTCTGTCCAGCATCACATATTCCACAATTGTTGGAATCACAGGACATTTCATGGAATGGAACATGGATTATTAATTTGAACTGCTTATAATATATTTACATTTTCTCAGTAACAAAGCATCTTTTTTCATAATTACCTGAATCTTATTAAAGTATTGCCCAGCTTCAAAGGGTACCACATTGTAGGTTGATATCCCAATGATTGGCTTGTCTGTGGGATTCTTAGCAGTGTAAAAGGCCAAAGCTGTTTCACCTGGAACGACCTGTCAATAAAGAGAACAGAAATACAAAAGTTTGTAAAGTGTAATTAATATTGCTCCTACTGAGAATTATTTGTTTCAGCTATTGTGATAGCAAATGAGAAGAGGTGAAATTAAGTTTAACGTCGTGCTTGAGAATATTTCACTCATATGACAATGTGCATGCGTGTGTATGTGTATGTGCGGCTGCTTGTACTAGCCCAGACTGAAGCTGGTTTTATAGTGCTAGCCAACTGAGATACCATGCCGCATTGAAGCATGAATACCCCACTCAGACACATTATACTGACTCCGAGCTGACCAGTACTTGTTGTTCCAATTAATGCCGAGCGCTAGGCATGGACTGACAAGTATCATATTTTAACGTCTTTTGGTATGACGCGGTCGGGGATCGAACCCGCGACCTTCCGCTCTCCGGGCGGACGCTCTATGATAGCAAATGGAAATCTGGGCACCTATGCAGCAAACAGCATACATTCTCCCACAAACCTCTTGCAGATTCTTGCATCTGAACATTCCCAGAGGAAAATGAATTAGAAATGACATAAATTTTGTACCTCTGATAATAACAAATATAGAATAGTGAGTTTTCACATGTGTAGGGCAACACATGTAATCCAGCTGTCTGATGCTATTTGACCCACATACAGGGTTGTGTCCCTTGCCTTTCCCAGGATCTGTTTATCATCAGCTCCAATATGATATTTGATGCTACTTGACCCACTATACAGGGCTGTGTCCCTTGCCCTCCCAGGATCTGTTTATTATAGGCTCTAATACGATATTTGATGCTACTTGACCCACTATACAGGGTTGTGTCCCTTGCCTTTCCCAGGATCTGTTTATCATCAGCTCCAATATGATATTTGATGCTACTTGACCCACTATACAGGGTTGTGTCCCTTGCCTTCCCAGGATCTGTTCATTATAGGCTCTAATACGATATTTGATGCTACTTGACCCACTATACAGGGTTGTGTCCCTTGCCTTCCCAGGATCTGTTTATCATCGGCTCCAATATGATATTTGATGCTACTTGACCCACTATACAGGGTTGTGTCCCTTGCCTTCCCAGGATCTGTTTATCATCAGCTCCATTACGATATTTGATGCTACTTGACCTACTATACAGGGTTGTGTCCCTTGCCTTTCCAGGATCTATTTATCATCAGCTCCAATACGATATTTGATGCTACTTGACCCACTATACAGGGTTGTGTCCCTTGCCTTCCCAGGATCTGTTTATCATCAGTTCCAATACGATATTTGATGCTACTTGACCCACTATACAGGGTTGTGTCCCTTGTCTTCCCAGGATCTGTTTATCATCAGCTTCAATACGATATTTGATGCTACTTGACCCACTATACAGGGCTGTGTCCCTTGCCCTCCCAGGATCTGTTTATCATCAGCTCCAATACGATATTTGATGCTACTTGACCCACTATACAGGGTTGTGTCCATTGCCTTCCCAGGATCTGTTTATTATAGGCTCTTATACGATATTTGATGCTACTTGACCCACTATACAGGGTTGTGTCCCTTGCCTTCCCAGGATCTGTTTATCATCAGCTTCAATATGATATTTGATGCTACTTGACCCACTATACAGGGTTGTGTCCCTTGCCTTCCCAGGATCTGTTTATTATAGGCTCTAATACGATATTTGATGCTACTTGACCCACTATACAGGGTTGTGTCCCTTGCCTTCCCAGGATCTGTTTATCATCAGGCTCCAATACGATATTTGATGCTACTTGACCCACTATACAGGGTTGTGTCCCTTGCCTTCCCAGGATCTGTTTATCATCAGCTCCAATACGATATTTGATGCTACTTGACCTACTATACAGGGTTGTGTCCCTTGCCTTCCCAGGATCTGTTTATCATCGGCTCCAATACGATATTTGATGCTACTTGACCTACTATACAGGGTTGTGTCCCTTGCCTTCCCAGGATCTGTTTATCATCAGCTCCAATACGATATTTGATGCTACTTGACCCACTATACAGGGTTGTGTCCCTTGCCTTCCCAGGATCTGTTTATCATCGGCTCTAATACGATATTTGATGCTACTTGACCCACTATACAGGGTTGTGTCCCTTGCCTTCCCAGGATCTGTTTATTATAGGCTCTAATACGATATTTGATGCTACTTGACCCACTATACAGGGTTGTGTCCCTTGCCTTCCCAGGATCTGTTTATTATAGGCTCTAATATGATATTTGATGCTACTTGACCCACTATACAGGGTTGTGTCCCTTGCCTTCCCAGGATCTGTTTATCATCAGTTCCAATAAGATATTTGATGCTACTTGACCCACATACAGGGTTGTGTCCCTTGCCTTCCCAGGATCTGTTTATCATCAGTTCCAATACGATATTTGATGCTACTTGACCCACTATACAGGGTTGTGTCCCTTGCCCTCCCAGGATCTGTTTATCATCAGCTCTCCAATACGATATTTGATGCTACTTGACCCACTATACAGGGTTGTGTCCCTTGCCTTCCCAGGATCTGTTTATCATAGGCTCCAATACGATATTTGATGCTACTTGACCCACTATACAGGGTTGTGTCCCTTGCCTTCCCAGGATCTGTTTATCATAGGCTCCAATACGATATTTGATGCTACTTGACCCACTATACAGGGTTGTGTCCCTTGCCTTCCCAGGATCTGTTTATCATAGGCTCCAATATGATATTTGATGCTACTTGACCCACTATACAGGGTTGTGTCCCTTGCCTTCCCAGGATCTGTTTATCATCAGCTCCAATACGATATTTGATGCTACTTGACCCACTATACAGGGTTGTGTCCCTTGCCCTCCCAGGATCTGTTTATCATCAGCTCCAATATGATATTTGATGCTACTTGACCCACTATACAGGGTTGTGTCCCTTGCCTTCCCAGGATCTGTTTATCATCAGCTCCAATATGATATTTGATGCTACTTGACCCACTATACAGGGTTGTGTCCCTTGCCCTCCCAGGATCTGTTTATCATCAGCTTCAATACGATATTTGATGCTACTTGACCCACTATACAGGGTTGTGTCCACTGCCTTCCCAGGATCTGTTTATCATCAGCTTCAATAAGATATTTGATGCTACTTGACCCACTATACAGGGTTGTGTCCACTGCCTTCCCAGGATCTGTTTATCATCAGCTTCAATATGATATTTGATGCTACTTGACCCACTATACAGGGTTGTGTCCATTGCCTTCCCAGGATCTGTTTATCATAGGCTCCAATACGATATTTGATGCTACTTGACCCACTATACAGGGTTGTGACCCTTGCCTTCCCAGGATCTGTTTATCATCAGCTCCAATATGATATTTGATGCTACTTGACCCACTATACAGGGTTGTGTCCATTGCCTTCCCAGGATCTGTTTATCATCAGCTCCAATACGATATTTGATGCTACTTGACCCACTATACAGGGTTGTGACCCTTGCCTTCCCAGGATCTGTTTATCATCAGCTCCAATACGATATTTGATGCTACTTGACCCACTATACAGGGTTGTGTCCCTTGCCCTCCCAGGATCTGTTTATCATGGGCTCCAATTTGACACACCCTGATCATGACATAGAAACTTGTTGGTTGTTTGTGGTTGTGTCACATCACAAACTGACACCAATAATAATATACATTAGCATTTCACCTAGATCACAATGAAGCCAACAAAGACAATAAGCAGGAGGGATGGAATAGTGAAAACAGTAAAACACAGGCTGAAGGGTGCTAATTGATATGGTCTATAGCTTGATTAGTTCTTCATAGGCCAATGGTGGGGCAGTGGGGTAGCTTAATGGTTAAAACGTTAGCTCGTTACACCGAAAACCCGGGTTCGATTTCCCACATGGGTACAATGTGTGCAGCCCATTTCTGGTGTCGCCTGCTGTGATACTGCTGGAATATTGCTAATAGTGGTTAAAACCATATTCACTCACTCACTCACTCACCCACTCACTCATAGGCCAATGGTATGTAGTATCCAACATGACTTGGGCTATTTGTTGTTCTTCGTCCCCAACTGGCCTCATCCAGTAATGTACCACTTGCTATTCACTTACATGCTGTTGTAAATGTTAATCTAATGTATGTCATGACAAACTATATACTTCTCAATATTTTGTTGTAGTCACTTTTAACTTGAATTGGTGTAAGAATCTACACCAGAACATCGTTCTCTTCAATGAACAAGAAGCTGTATAGGCTCACAAACTTCTAGAATTCCGACCAAACAATTTGTACCTGTTGGTACTACATCTCCAGTCACTCAACAACTGATGTCACCTTAAATTCTGGCACAACCTAGATTTTCCCAGACTGATTGACTGACTGAGTTTGGTTTTACGCCGCTTTTAGCAATATTCCAGCAACATCATGGCTGGGGACACCAGAAATGGGCTTCACACATTGTACCCATGTTGGGATTCGAACCCGAGTCTTCGGCATGACGAGCCAACGCTTTAACCACTAGGCTACCCCACTGCCCCAGATTTTCCCAGAGACTGACCTTGACATCTGTCTGTTGGGGCTTGAAGTTCCATCTCATGCTGGATGCAACATCTGCATTGAAACGGACTCTGATAACCCGCTCCTGAACAGGCTTCATGAATTCAACCTTGGTTGTGTCATGACCTTGCACTGCCTGACCTCCAAGACCTGTTGCCTGAAACGAACAAAAACTCAGTGATACCCTTTATGTTTTCAATACCACAACACACAGTGTTATTTTTCTTTTTTAATTACTCCAGACTACTTTAATCAGAAACACAAATTAAGATCCTGGATAGAATTGGTCTTCAGTAACGCATGCTTGTTGTAATGGGATTGGGTGGTCACACTTGCTGACTTGGTTTGCACATGTCATCATATCCTAATTGCGTAGATTGATGCTCATGTTGTTGATCACTGGATTGTGTCGTCCAGACTTGATAGTTTACAGACCACCACCATATAGCTGGAATATTGCTGAGTGTGGCGTAACACTCACTCATTTAATCATTAACTTATGTTAAATTTGGGACTGCTTTAATCAGCAAAAATGACTTTCCAAAATCTTAACATTACTTAACCATTTTACAATGACATATAAATTTTTGGATAATATGTGCCACTGCTAAACACTTTTGTCAACTTGGCATGACAATCATTCTGATTGAAACAAGTAAAAAAATGTTTTTCAATAAATCAAACTGAAAATTGATAGAAAGACAAAATATCATATCAACATATATCATAAAACAACTAGTCATAGTAACAATTTGTTGTGTCTATTTGCTTGGACCAGCCCAGAAAGAAGTTCATCATTTATATTGATGTACTGTTCAAATGTAACAGAAATTGTCTTGCATACATTTATAATGTCTTTAACAAATACAGCAATTATGACATTAAATTACCCCTTGGGATTCCTGATAACAACTGGTCCCCAGACTGACCAATGAGATGACCAATTTGAGTGCATGGCCAGGTTCACTTGACATGCCCTAACTGGATGGATCACTGCTTGTAATACCAATCACTGGATTGTCCGGTCCAGACGATTATGTACCATGCTTACAGCCTACTACCATATAACTGCAGTGTTAAAAACAACCAGCAGACCATTCAGTTTCCCACTCACCTGACAAAACATCCTGTAAAGGGGTACTCCAGCATAACTCATCCCCAGCATGAAGATACCCACAGCACAAATGTAAATCAATGTAGATCGAAGGTTGAGTCGTTCTTCGGGATCTCTCCCGTTGCTCATTTGACGGACAAAACATGGTTGATCTTTCACATGCAGACACTTTCTAAATACATCAGACCTTGAACACATCAAAGTTCTGACACACAAAAGATCCATTTTAGGTAGTTTCCGTAAGATATCTTTTGACGCGACTAGTGCACATTTAGGTGTGGAGGGTGGATGGCGTATTAGATTATTTATCAATCTTTGAGAAGATATATGTCTTCTTTGATATAAAACTCTTACAGACTGGCTGACTATGTTGTGAAAGCACACAGTGTGACGTTGCTGAAGTCTTCCAAGAAATAAAGATGAGGCCATATTTTTAACCAATATCTGAAAAAGACAGTTTGAATTTAAGCTTGATGTGTGCATTTTGAAGAAAAAACATATTTGAATCCACACCTGTCTTCTCATTCTGGACTGAGGAACATTTTAAATCCTCACAATGCTCCAAATATATTCATAGCAAACATTGTATTTTCTTTCTCCTCTTTCCCTAAAAGACTATACTTTCTAAGATACATTGATCCGGAAAATGAAAACAATTAAGAATTGAAAAGCTTTATCATCTTATACCACTGAAAAAAACCATATTAATCAAGATGACTGAAAGGTGGTTAAACAAACAATGCATACAAAATCACAAATATATACTGAAAGTATCTTTTTATCATATTTTTGTCATTGAACAACTAGGAGGACTTTCCCCACAGACTTAGACTGAATTATAAAATTTTGACCAAATACACAAATATCAAGACATGTGATGCAGGTATGAGCAAGTAAGGAGATACTGAAGTAAAACAAGTCCTAACACACACCTACTAGCTACAGTTACAGAGGTTGTAGTTGGCTGTACAAACATGGTGGTATTTGTTGTCCATATAATGAACCACAAGCAAAAGTGGTGCAGGTTAGGCAACACAGAAAAAATGCTGCGTTTCTGATTACAGAAGTTTTAAAATTATGATATTCCCAATAAAATAAACAAATATTGCAAAACTGAATGCACCCTGGGTGTCTCGCCATTAAAACATACTATTATTTATTTTTTATATGTACTTCTTGAAATTTAAAAAGACGAATCACATATCAAGAGACAGATTTCGTTCGTATGAACTGCTGCACAGAACTATCAAAATGTTCACTGACATAGACGAAGAACGAAGTAATATGAGTTTCACTGCATTTTCAGAGAACTGATGCTTGAGAAAATTGGCCATGGTCATGGTAATTAATGTCAGAGAACCAAGAGAGTTTTTGTGGTAAGCTAGGGTATTTGGAACCAGAAGGTTTGATGTTAGGCCATATTAATGCACCACTCTGACACAGACATTCTGTTATTACTAAGGAAAACTGCACATGTTTATCACTACATGTGACACAATTCATCATATTTATCAATGTAGGCCTACAAAGGAACCACTAATTTGTACAATACACAATATGTATACCTCTGTTTCATTTGATTTAAATCTACATCAGGCATTCAAAAATTCTTGCAATAAACTTTATCCAGTCATGCTGATAGGGTATCAAAGGTTAAATGACATGTATTTTGCACACTGGCAGAACATGATTTGTATCAGTGTATGCCACATAGTAAAGTGGAGCAATAAATAGCTACATCTCTGGTAGTGTAAAACACCTTCCGGCTTACCTTTAGAATACAGCACCACAAACTTTAAAAATACGTCATAATAATCTTTTACGTAATGTAATGTGATTTTGTTCGAAAAGCACGCTCGAAACAATGCCCTATGGCGCCTGCATGGCAACACGGTTGTCTGGCTCAGCGAGTCGCGTTATAAGCTCCATCACTGGTGTTTCATCTCTCGAGCTATGTCATTGCATAAGCCCAACGATGTTGAGAGTTTCCAGTAGTTGTCTACCGGCATTGGATCGCAATATTTTGCAAGCACCAGTTTGAAATATTTTCTTTTCACTAATACGGCCATATTTATTTGTATTACGGGCTTGCTGAGGTGTTATGTTTTGTGTATTTTGTATTTTGTATTTTTTTAATTTTACATATATATTTTGGCATTCAGTAATTTGCACCATTACATAGGAAAGTGTTTTATTAGTATTTTATTTTTTCGAAGCGGTAATAATGCATTACACTAGACACGTCAGTCGTGTTTGTGCCGATTCGGTCAATGCATTCTATTTATTAGGATTAATTCAAGGGATTGGGGTTAGGGTTAGGGCTGGGAGCTAGGATTAGAGTTAGAGCTTAGGGCTTAGGGTTTAGGGGTTAGGGGTTAGGGTTAGGGTTAGGGTTGGGGTTGGGGTTGGGGACCCTAATGCAATATAGTAGGTACATGTCCGTGGTTCGGTAAATGCATTTTATTTATTAGGATAATTTTAAGGGGTTAGGGTTAGGGCTGAGGGTTTAGGGGTTATGGTTAGGGTTAGGGACCTAATCCAATATAGTAGTAGGTACATGTCCGATGTAATACGTTGAGTACCATTTGTTGTTTTTCCTTTTGCATTTTAAAGTACATTATGAAATGGGTTAATGTAGAAAATTTGGGCTAATAGTAATTGGCCTGGAATTTGCACTCAAGCCTATTTCACACGCATAACATAAATTTTGTTCAGTAATGATTGAGGCTAACTCACCCCGCGTGCCGTCACTACACATGCTCATGTCTCCCTCGTTCCTTAGTGCGATCCACATTATCCTTACAGTGTTCCCTACATCACTTTTCTGTCACAAAATCACCGATTTATATAAAAGCGCCGCAATTCATGCATGCACCGTGAAATCTACGTCCTGACACCTGGCGTCCAACAACCCTTTTCAGCTTGAGGCATATCGGCTCATTCCACGCCACACGTTAATTTGTAGATTACGGAATGGGACGAGTGTGCCAAATGGCATCGGATCCATTCGGCAATTGTCCGAAGAATAAAATCCACGAGACACCAAGTCTACCCGTGGCATTAAGTGAATTGTCCGTGACCTATTCGACTCTTTCCGTTCATTTCGCGGCGTCCACAGGAATGACTTCGATAAATTTTGCACATTGTGCAACAGTGTGGACGTAGCTCAGTCGGTTAGCTGTCGAACTAACAATCCGAAGGTCGCGGGTTCGGGTCCAACGCGTTCTCACAAACTGGTTGGTTGTCTTAATGACATGTGACCTCACGGCAGAGATCGCCCTCACGCGAGAAGTTGTGGTGCTGTATTCTAAAGGTGCTCCACCTTCCTACAATGTCAATGACATATGATGCTGTTTTTGCCAATACGATCCTGTTTTATCAGTCAAGTGTGATGCCATAAGAATTCATTTTGGATTACTTTCCGGGAAATTAAACAACACATAAAAACTATCTACGTCTATCTTACAAAACAAAAAGATCTGGACATGCTATAGTTTGCGTTGACATGAGTATGAATCCTCTTTATGAAGTATGGACATGGACATGAAGTGTCAGCCTCATCACGGCAAAAGAGTTCATACAAATAACTTGATTCATCTGATATAAGTAATAAAAATGTTAAATGGTTTGTTACATATTGTCATGGCGTGACAGTAGGAATAGGCTAAACTTCAAATCAGACTGTATTCATTACAATGTAGTATGGGTGTTGTCAATACACATAACTTACGATAATAAAAGCCAAATGATAAGTCAAAGACACCTCTCTCAAAACTCGCCAATGTTATCGCATGGGCGCAGCCATATTGTCTACCGACGTGCGTTACGTAGTCGTAAAATAGAATAAATCTCAATGAAACCCCTTACTTGACCAGTTGAACTTTGTTATTGATATTCTTATATATTCAATGATACTATTTAGGCTACATCTAATTTAATCGATTAGCATTTTCCAAATTTCATTGCTTAAATATAATTTTTCGACAATCGCCCAGCGTGTGTTTTCCAGATTGACAGCTGACGTCGCACGTGGGAAACAAAACCATTTTCTAGATTCCAAGAGCAAACATAGATCATATTTATTTGTGTCTGTGCAAGCAACTCGAAGAGCAATATGGGTATCCTAGAGAAGATATCAGAAATTGAGAAGGAAATTGCCCGGACTCAGAAAAACAAAGGTATATGGAACTGCATGATTATTGTTCAGTTTTCGATCATAATGAACGTGTCTGTGCATTTGTTACCTTTAAATAGCAGACATAGATCAAAAATACACTCTATACTTAAGCTGGCACATATTACGGCTAGAATGCACTTTACTGGGAGGAGCCCTCGCTGTGGGGCAATTATCGCGCTATAGCGCTACCGCACTGTCTCAAGGGCTGTCTCGCTATATCGCGTAATTGCTCCATCTCCCTTCACTTGCATCTTTAGAGTCAAACAACCCTTTACGTCTAGGGTTAGGGTATGGCACCCTTCACGATCCTTAGGGTTAGGGTATGGCACCCTTCACGATCCTTAGGGTTAGGTTTAGGGTTAGGCACCCTTTACGATCATTAGGGTTAGGGAACCTTTTCGATCCTTAGGGTTTAGGGTTAGCACCCTTTACGATCATTAGGGTTAGGGTATGGCACCCTTTCCGATCCTTAGGGTTAGGGTTGGAAGAGGGGTAGGGTTGGGGACCCTTTCCAATTCTTATTTAGGGTTTGACTTTACCTTAGGGCAGTATAATCCTATTATATCCAATTGAAACACATTTCGATCCATCCGGTACTCGCCAGTACAGTCCAAGAAATAATGGGGCGAAAAAATGAATGGGAAGGGCGTGGCACAGGTGGCGGAAGCTTCGAGAAATGTAAACATGTTTTCATTTCGCAAGGCTCACTTTACTCTTAATGCAAATGACCCGTTAAACAAACACTCATTAACTGTGATGGAGCTCGTGGTCCCGAGGTAGAGCGTCCGCCAATTACGTCACTAATTAACGAAGTCAGTAATCCAGTGAAGCGTGTGCGAGCCCCAGCAGGGCTAATTAATCGGAAAAAGTGCCTCGGTAAAGTGCAGTACTCCCCATATTACAGTTTATTAGGTTGTTTTTTATTTCCGATACATTGATCCATGCTTGCTGTGATCCATGATATTTATATCATGGATCACAGCAAACATGGATCAATATGGTTAACTATAAGCCTTCAGGCATTACTTTTCAGATTCTCCTGTTATGTAGGGAAGTCTTTGGCCTATCATGCAATACCTTATGTCTTTGTGGTTAAATGACAAATTTCTCAGCATTAATTAGTCCAGATAAGCATCAGATTGCAATTAGCATGATTAGTGTTGGCATCGGGGCTTTAAGACCAGCGAGGACACAATTGGAGGATGTGTTTTTTCTGGGCAACCCAATGCGTTAGGTTACCTTTTGTAACCATGGATCATATTTCTACCAATCTAAATTTGTATCTAGGACGCTTTAATGGACATTCATATTTGCATATAGCTACAAAATTTGGCTGGCCTATCCTTGAAACCCTTGTGTTTAGATGAAATGTCTTGCTTCTTCAATTATCCAATATAAACATCAGATGAAAATTGTCATTTGAACCCCACAAACTGGGCTTCATACCACCAAGGGTGCTATTGCTGTTTCAGATGGCACCAAGGATCCAGAATCTTATTTTTGCCATTTGGATTTTGGTCACACCATATCTGACAGTTACTGGGCTTTCATGTATGGAAAAAGAATGCAAAAATTAAATGAAGTGTTTTTTTCACAATATAAACCATATTTTGTTGTTTTGGTGTGCTCTTTTTCGATTAAAACCCAACTTTCTCAGATAAGTGTTTTTAACCACAATGAGAATGTGAGAATAGCTCCGAGCACAAGACCAAACTGCCATTTCTATATTCCATGATAAGCAAAAATGAATCTCTGATGAAAATCCCATCCATATTTCAGTACTTTCAAGTTGTGTTTCTCATTAAACAGTCTTTGCAACAAACCTTTCAGTCAACCAGCCAGAACTTGTAATTCTTTCTAAAAGTTCAGCGACAGCTATCAGAACACAATGTTAGGTATCCAAATTGTGCAGTTTTGTGACAGTGCAAGTGTAGAATGATTTGACCCCATTAACTTCTGATGCCATGTTTACTTCCAGCCACTGAGTACCATCTCGGTCTGCTGAAAGCCAAACTTGCCAAGTACAGACAGCAGCTGTTGGAGCCACAAGGGAAGACTGGAGCTAAGGTAGACCATAGGCAACGTTTTGTAACCATGGACACATGACAGTACATTACTGATGGTGAATACACATAAAAATTCACTATTGCTTGTGAAAAGAAAGCTCAAATTGTTTTTCTGCCTTTAAACTAGAAATTCTGAATTAGATGTAATTTCTATTTTTAAAAAAGTAAGAATATTTGTTAACCTGATAATATTATTAGGTGTCATCTTATGTAACACTCCTATCAGGCAACATTTAAGATTTTTAAAGAATAGGACTCTTTTGAGTTATTTTTTATATAATCCACAAAATATTGCATGAGATCATTTACATCAGTGTTTGAATATATATGGTACATCGCGTATAATCCAGCTGATTTCATAGGAGCCCATGGTCTGTTTGAACGGACTTCACCTACACTGTGCACTACAATGTTGACACTTGCGGATGGTGCTTTGTCTGGTTCATTACTTTTTGGTTGGTTTACAGACCACCTTGACATGACAGGGAGCCACTATGCTGTGTCAGGCATTAAACAAACCTTTACTGATACCTTTTTTAATGCAAGCTACTTGAGTGGCAGTGTCGTCACAGATATGTTTGAGTGATCCACTCATATTCAATACTTTTTAGCCTTTCATGCAATAGATGCTTTCCATTTCAGGGAGAAGGTTTTGATGTAATGAAATCTGGTGATGCCCGTGTGGCTCTTATAGGTTTTCCATCTGTTGGCAAGGTTTGTTCATGATCAAAATTATCTTTGCATTACTATCCATAAAGTTTATTATTTGAAAGACAGATGCATAGTTATTTTTAAGTTTCAAGACTTTTTATGATTACAGCTTTATCCTTAGATATGATGATGTTAGAAGCCATTACAATACAATGTGAACTTCTCTCTTTTCACTTTTTGATAACTTTTATAAATCAATTTTGATGGTGATGTTTATGATGAGTATGATGTGTGGTTTTCAGTCCACCCTGCTGAATACCTTGACCTCCACCCACAGTGAATCGGCCAACTACGAGTTCACCACTCTCACCTGTATCCCTGGTGTCATAGAGGTAACTATGGCAAAGACTGACACTTATCATTCTCATTTCTGTATTTGAACTGTCGCTTTTCTTCATAATTCTCAGGGCGTGGGGTAGCCTGAGTCGCTAAAGCGTTGGCTTAGCTCACGCCAAGACCCGGTTCAATCCACACATGGGTACAATGTGTGAAGCCCATTTCTGGTGTCCCCATGCGCGATGTTGCTGGAATATTGCTAAAAGCGTAAATCAAACTCAGTCAGTCAGTCAGTCATAATTCTCATGATTGAACTGTTCACATTTCATTTTTCCCTACCCTAGAATGTAAAACAAGTCTTGGAACCACTGTTGGGCAGTGGAGAATAAAATGGCTATGTATTAGAAACTGATTGAAGAAGTGTCAAGTGTAACATTTGGGATTAGTGTAACATTTCTTATATTTGGGATTACACTTTCTGAGTAAAGTAGAGATTCTAGTAATTGTACGGGGTGGAGTCCCTTCAAGGATTCGAACCTACACATTGTGCTGGCAATTTGTGTCTTCACAATAAGGTTGTAGTTAAATGCTACAGAAAGTTCTCCTGCTTAAGCAGTGTTCAGCCTAGTTTGTACACAGAACCTTTGATGACAAGATCCATGTCTATATAGGTTGTCAGGAGACATTGCCACTGTTGCATTGTACCCTATAGTGTCGGCAGCCACAGGTACTATATCAACCACTTGTCTGTGTGGTTCAAACTGTCATACTGATGGCACATGAATCACAATGGCATAAGGACACATTTGTTAAAACACTTTCTCCCCTCCTGTCCTTCCCTCCCTTCCTCCCAACCTCCTCTCTCTAGCTTCCCTCACTCACCACAGGGGTGGTGTGGTAGCCTAGTGGTTAAAGCGTTCACTCGTCAAGCTCAAGACCTGGGTTTGATTCCCCACATGGGTACAATGTGTGAAGCCCATTTCTGGCGTCTTTTGCCATGATATTGATCGAATGTTGCTAACAGTGGCATAAAACCATACTCACTCACTCACCACTCACATGCCTTTTTTCACTCACTCACTTACTCACTCACACCTTCTTTATCCCATTTTATCCAATCCCAAACAATATTTGAACATCCATGGGATCACTTGCTCTACATTTTCTCCATGTTTCAGTACAATGGTGCCAACATTCAGCTGCTCGATCTGCCTGGAATCATAGAGGGTGCTGCACAAGGTTTGTGACCTGTTTTGTTGATTCTCCCTGCCATCTTGTAAGCATGAACAAACGTGACACTGTCAGTCTGCTATTTAGGTATGTTTTCAGGCTATTTATTGTCTTGAAGATTTTCGAATATATTTAATCAAATTTTTGTAATAGATTGTTTTGGAATTTCATCCTGCGACACCTGGTCTCATCGTTTATTATAAGTCATACATTCGTTATATTTTAACTGCTCATTTGCCTTTCATGCCCAATGTAATCTGTTTCGGCAGATGATGAAGATTGATATTATCTGCTATTGATATATGAATATAGGTTGTATCACGCTGATATTCGTTGCCTAGGATAACTGATATTCCAAATGACTATTTGTTGTCAGGCAAGGGTCGAGGTCGGCAGGTTATTGCCGCGGCCCGCTTGACAGCTGATCTGGTGGTCATGATGCTGGATGCAACAAAGAGGGAGTACCAGAGGTACAGAACACACACAAATCAGATAGACACACTGAAATCACTAGCATTCTTCTACGTTACAGAGAATCTAACCTCACTCAGCACTTTTGTCCGAGCCTAAACTATTGTGCCCCATAAGTACTACTCAAAACAAGTTTAGGTCCACCTGATTCTTTCATATTATTACAGATAATTAGTCAGTCTTTGCTGCCTTTGGTGAGCTGTTCACTTCCCATGATACCTTACTATCAAGCAGGCTGCTTTGAGCTGTTTTTTTTGCAGCAGATGTTGTTGGAAAGAATTCTCTATTGATAACAATCCTGGTATTATTTGAAACTTAAGGTTGGAAAACCGAGTTCCTTGTTCCATTATTTACACACATATCAGGTCCTTCTACCAGGTGCTTCTTTGTCGTACGTTTAGACTTGCTGTTGTCTTGGAAGGTCATGCCGCTAAAATGATTGTAATCCTTGTTTTGGAAAGAATGCATACTTCTTAAATGAGGATGTATTCTTTGAAACAGTTTTTCAGGCAAAAAACCTAAGCACAAGTTTCAGGATCATTTGGTTTTAATTTCATTCCAGAGAACTTTTGGAGAAAGAATTGGAGAGTGTTGGCATTCGATTAAACAAAGGCAAACCCAATATATATTTTAAGGTAAGTTCTCGTTACACAGGGCAGTGTGGGTAGCCTTGACTTTTGTTTGTCACACCGAACACCCAGATGTGATTCCCAACATTAGTACAATGTATAAAGCCCATTTCTGATGTCCCTTTCCATGATGCTACTGGAATAGTGCTAAAAGCAGCGTAAAATCACACTCACTCACTCACTCAAGTTATGCAGTTTTTGAAAAATCAAATCCCGAGGTCATTTGATGGGAAAACCCATTGCCTTTCTAACCGCTTTTAAAAATTACTTTCCAATGGAGTTTTATGGTTAAATTTGGTCTTAAGGAGTCTATGCTAAAAACCAACTAAATGAATGAGAAGATCAGGCTTGTTAATTTAGTTTATTGCTTGTCATCAATCATGAAGATCCGGATTACAATCGGTCTTCAGCAACCCATGCTTGTCTTAACTGGCGACTAACAGGATTGAGTGGTCAAACGCCTGACTTGGTTGACACATGTCATCATGTCCCAGTTAAGTAGATCAATGCTTTGCTGTTATTCCCTGGATTGGCTTGTCCAGACTGGAATATTGCTGATTGTGGTGTTAACCATAAAACAAACAAACAAACATAGCATGTCATCAACGGCCTGGCTTACTGCCCTTTTATCAGTCACTGGCTTGTCTGGTCTATAGCTGGAACACTACTGAGTGTGGCAACAAATAAGATCGACTACGGTGATAATCAGTTCAGCAAAATAATTGCAGACTGTGATTTCTTTCAAGAAATGTAGCAATTACTTAAACCTTTCATAATGCACCTTTTGGAAGATTTCAGTTGCTTAAATGAATAGACAATGCCTTTTATAAAGTGGACAAATGTTACATATGTATCATTTGGGATAACACTTTCTTCATAAGGTACAATTTCTACTACTCGTTGATGTGGAGCCTCATCTGGGATTGAAATGACACTGTCAGATTGAGGCACCCGATCACCAGTCAGTGACCCTCCTAACTCAGCAATGTAGGCGTCCACAAAATTCAAGTGGTACAGCTCCTACTGGATCAGATACATTGTGTACCCTCTAATAAGTGTCAATCGGCATTACTGCGCTGGTCGAAACTATGTACATACAATCCCTTTTGAAATATTTCACCATTAGAAATGCACGATTAGAATTATTTCATTTCAGCCAAAGAAGGGCGGTGGTATGTCTTTCAACTCGATGGTGTCGATGACAAAGTGTAATGAGAAGTTGGTCTCAATGATTCTCCATGAATACAGTATCCTTGCCACCCTACTGATGACAGACAACCTGAGGCACCACTGTCAAGAGCAGCTTTATCGAAACTCTTGGTTAGGCAGTACCATAGCTGTGCTTGTGGTATGGTGGTGCACCACTTCAGGCTTTTCTCCCACATTTAACTGACATGCCATGTTGTAAAATAAACTCAGTCTGAATCATTAATAGACTCATGAAGATCTGGATTAGAATTGGTCTTCAGCAACCCATGCTTGTAATAATAGGCCACTATCGGGATTGGGTGGTCAGGTTAGTTGACTTGGTTGACACATGTCATTATGCGATCGGTGTCATCGTATCCCAAATGTGGAGTCTGATACTCATGCTGTTGATCACTGGATTGTCTGGTCCAGACTCGATTATATACAGACCGCCATAAAGCTGGAATATTGCTGAGTGCTGCGTAAAACTAAACTCACTCACTCACTCACTCTTTCCTCCTACTCACTCACACGGTCATCTGTGTCACACAAGTCGAAAGTGTGTATGGCCAGAGAGTAGAAGTTTAGTGGGTCAATGCTTGGCTTCATCAATTTCAGGGTGGTACTTGTTGTTACCCTGCCTGTCCAGATTAGTAGCCACACACTGAAACAATCAAGATTAACCCATTTCATCTTGCTCATTCGACCCGTGAAGATCCGGGTAGAATAGGTCTTCAGCAACCCATGCTTGCTTACAAAAGGCGACTATGCTTGTCGTAATAGGTGACTTCACGGATCGGGTGGTCAGGCTCGCTGACTTGGTCGACACATGTCATCGGTTCCCAATTGCGCCGATCGATGCTCATGCTGTTGATCACTGGATTGTCTGGTCCAGATTATTTACAGACCGCCGCCATATAGCTGGAATATTGCTGAGTGCGGCGTAAAACTAAACTCACTCACTCACTCTTGCTCATTCCCTCATCCATTAATCCCTTAACAGTGTAACAGAAATATTTAACTGTGAAGTCCTGTTCCGTGATGACTGCACATCAGATGAGTTTGTGGACGTTATCTTGGGCAACCGAGTCTACCTGCCATGTTTATATGTAAGTTGTGACACTTTACAAACAAATAGACATACATCATATGATCAAGATCACAATGATGTCAGAGCATTAAATTTCCAGCTAGTCTGATTGTAATCAAATCTCATTCAAGTCAGATCTTTTCCTGAAACACAAGACCTCCCTGCAAGAAGATAGGAGACCATGATGAAGGATTGGATCAGGTGAACCTGCCCAAACTATGTGAAGGATGCACAGTACTCTGAGCCAGATATCACCTTTTAAAACACCTTTTCTGAAATTTCTGTCTTGGCAAAGCAACGCGATGACACTGGTCATAAGTGTAACCTTGCTTGTGCATCTGTTGTTTTGTTGATGCCATGGTACCCAGTAACCACAAGATTCCAAAACATTGTAATAGTTTTTTGCTTTAGGATTTAGATCCCTTGTTTTGACAATTTTCAAGACAAAATGTGAGGCTTGCTTGTCTTAATGCTTCTGGGTGGTGGGGTGATGGGGTATCCTAGTGGTTAAAGCGTTAAGCTCTCGTCGCCCGAAGGCCGGGTTCGATTCTCCACATGGGTACAATGTGAAGCCCATTTCTGGTGTCCCCACCGTGATGTTGCTGGAATATTGCTACAAGCGTGTAAAACCATACTCACTCACTCACTCTGGGTGGTGGGGTAGCCTAGTGGTTAAAGCGTTCATCACGCTGAAGACAGGGGTTCTATTTCCCACATGGGTACAGTGTGTGAAGCCGATATTGATGGAATATTGGTAAAAGCAGCGCATAACTAGACTCACTCACTTAATGTTTCTCTCATGAATGTCAGAGATTGATACTGATTTCCTAGTTAGAGAGTTCACTCGACACGACCTCCTCAGATCTTCACACAGAGGTATCCCATAGAGGTATCAGTTTAAAACATGTTTTTAATCAGGATCACAAGCTCATTGGATAATGATCATGACAATGGTCTGTCATTATAGAGACAATGTTTTAAATGTGACCTGTATCTTTCAAGGTTATAGATAACTAGATTTGATGTGAATCTACAGCAGATCTAAGATATACCAGGTTGTTTTTTAAGCATTGTTTGTTTCTCAAGCACCTGCCAGGTATACAACAAGATTGATCAGATCTCTATAGAGGAGGTAGACAGGCTTGCCAGGCAGCCCAACTTCGCTTTGTGATGAGGTTAGTTTAAACATTGAGTAGCACATACAACATCACCTTTCTTGTTTTCAGCGACTACTAACTTTTTGGTGCAGATTTATTCTGACATAGCTATTGTGGTATTTGAAGATACATTGTACTTGTACTGACTCAAGTGTGTATGGTTAATTGCATTAATATGCTCAAGTAAGCAACTCATGATATCTCTCATAGAAAGCTATCCTCTCAATATTAGAGGCAACTACATGTATATGGATCCAATGTCCAATTTGTGGAAGGTAGTTGTGAAATGTTTCTTTTGCTCTTCACAGCTGTAATATGAAGCTGAACTTGGACTACCTCCTGGAGATGACATGGTATTTCCTGGCTCTCATCAGGGTCTATACAAAGAAGAGGGGAGGTAAGTCTGGATGTCCTTTTACCTGGCTCTCATTAGGGTCTACAGAAAGAAGAGGGAAGGTAAGTCTGGATGTCCTTTTACCTGGCTCTCATCAGGGTCAATGTCTTTGGGTGTTTTTACCTATCCCCAAAGGGAAGATTAGTCTGGGTGTGTTTTTTAATCTATTTCTCGTCAGAGTTTATACAAAGAAGATCTATGAAAAGGGAGGAGGATTCTTGGTGTGGTTATACCAGTTTCTTATCATGATCTATTGAAAGAAGGGGAGGTAGGTCTATGTATGATGTCACCTGACTCTCCTTGGCATCTGTACAAAGGGAAGGGAAGGGTTAGTCACAGTGCTACTTTAATATACTGATAATCATTTTCTGATATTGTGGCCGGAAGATTGGCTCTCATTTAGTGAAGTGTCAGGATATGTCAAGCAATAGGTTGTCAGTGTATGTTGAAGTACTATCATTCCCTTTGAATAACACCCTTTATGTGATTTTAGAGAAACCTGACTTTGATGGTGGACTGGTTTTACGTCGAGGCTGCTCAGTAGAACATGTGGTGAGAAAAACTGTGTAATCTTCCTTGTTGTTGCCATCTGTGAAGGTCCGGGTTAGAACTGATCTTCAGCAACCCATGTTGTCGTAAGAGGCGAGTAACGGGATCCGATGGTCGTTACTCACTGACCTGGTTGACACATGACAATTGTGTTGCTCATGCTGTTCATCACTGTATTGTTTGGTCCAGACTCGATTATTTGTGGATGGAATATAGATGGAATATTGCTGAGTGCATCATTAAACAACCAAACAAACAGAACTCTTCCAGTGCAGTTAGTGTTATCCTGATGTCATTACTTGTTCAGTGCTGATTATTGTGTCAAGTGTAGAAGACTTGTATTTACTCAATCTTTTCAGATTATAGGTTCTTATATTATTATTACAGTGTTGTTAAATATATAATATGATGTCAAAATACATAATTGATGTAAGGGGCACAAGCATGTTAGGTGTCCAATGGTGTGTCGCGATTTACACTTCTCAAAGTGGAAGTGGACTCTTCGGATGTTTCGATTTGCATGCTTCTCTTCGAGAAGTATTTCCCGCTCTTCTCATTCATGAGCAGAAGAGCGAGCAGAAGAGTGAGAGCAGAAGCGTGGTCTTCGGCTGTTCGATATAAAACTCAGAAGACCCCTCTTTCGGAACAGGTTTCTCTTCCGAGAAGACGTATAATCGCACATGCCTTAACACTCCATGATTTGTTGTGCAGAGTTGTGTCCCTTGGGTTCAAAACCAATATCTCCATGATTCTGTGTCAAGCTGTTTCAGCACTATGTCAATATGTTTGGGTTTCACCAAACTAGTAAAACACTTGCTCCCTTTGAGGCTCATTCTTGCATTATTAACACAGTGACATAACCGGAATACTGTTCAGAGAGACATGGAAATCCCAGTTCTCTCAATCACTTCTTCATAATTGGAGTAAGCAGGCAGAACCTGCACTTTAGTTGGATTCTTTTTATGATTTCATCTTTCTTGAAGAGCGGAAGTAAGATGCCCTTAGTCAAATGTGGTGTATTGATAAAGGTCTGGGGAGGTGATAATGTTTTGTTGACTTGGAGCTTTTAGATATGTAAGTTGTTGTTTCTTATTTTCAGTGTCATGCAGTTCACAGAAGTATAACAGAGGTGTTCAAATATGCTCTTGTTTGGGTAAGCAAAATGCATATTTTTTTTCCAACAACAAATATTATGAAATCATTTTTGTACCTTACAAGTGTAATTCGTAATAAGCATGTGTCTGAGACACCAGAAACAGTTTGTTATTAGCATGTTCATTATTAAAGGAACGGGGAACAACACATATGAACATTTGTGTTCCTTGAATATTAGTTTCATACATACATATATATATGTCATTGGTCAAATGCAACAGATTTGAAGGAATAACAGTACCATGAGTTGTCTCCCTTTCCTACGACATGTCTACATTATATATATATTTTATACAAGCCTAATGATAGAATAGAATTCTATTTGATAAAGATATTTTAATTAAGCAAGAATAAGAACTTGGAACAAAGTGTAGTAGGAAGGGAGACAACTATTGGCACTGATGATCTCTCAAAAGTGATGCAATATCGTGTGATGAGGTCATGATTATACTGTCAGCATTTATTCTCTATTATAGTGATGAAGTATTACATTCATCAGGGGCGGATACAGCTTTTTGAGAAGGGGGGTGCACACTATTGAGAAAAGAGGAGGTGCACACTTCATTTTCACCCAAGTTTCAATGGTCATTTAATAAACTTTCAGGACAAAAGGGGGGATGCGCACTATTGAGAAAAGAGGGGGTGCACACTTCACATTTTCACCCAAGTTTCAACAGTCATTTAATAAACTTTCAGGACAAAGTGGTGCGCACACACAGGATCCGCCTATGTTCATATAATGTTATAACTCCTAATTTCACTCACATGAAATATCACTTTATGCCGGAACAACTCTCTGTCTCTTAACACTATGGAAGTTCAGAAGAATAAATATAGACATGCATATATTGAACCAAAAATGTTTCATGTATATTTTTTTTGGGGGGTAGGGGGTGGGGTGGAGGAGCAGTGTGGGTAATGACAGAGCACAGTTTCTTCCAGATATTCTCACAATTAGGTATGATCCTAACTTCTTGTGGTAAGTGTATGACAGGTGTAAATTAACACTGCGATGTCTTTCTTGATGTTTCAGGGCACCAGCGTGAAATACAGTCCTCAGAGGGTTGGGTTGAGTCACATCATGAATCATGAAGATGTCATACAAATTGTCAAAAAGTAGAAACTGTTTCTGTTTTAACAAATCCATTTGTAATGTATATTATGTACAGTGTAAATAATCCATGTATATTGGTTACTCAGTGTTATAACTACGGCAATGATCTGGAACATTATTGTCTTTTCCCTATGTAAATTTGAGTTAAATAGATAGAACTATCAAAGCTGTTATAAGGTTTAATGACAAAGTATAATGCATTGTTGTTTAGAAAATAGTATTTTCCACTTGATTGTTACATTTATTGATAGAAGAAATGTGAGAAAATACACCTGAAAAATGTACACACTGTATTGATGGCATGGATGTCCGAGTAAGCTAACGGTTGCAATTTACTGTGCAGAGTTGCTTCCCTTAGATGTGTCCCCTGTCAAGCTGTAATGCCTTATCATAACAGAAATACTGTTCAAAGCAGTATTAAATTGCCATTTAAGCCAATCCTCTAACTTGTGTCCATATGAAATAGTGAACATTTTAAGTAAATGTATCTCATATTTGAAATTAGTACTCAACACTTATCACCTGTATGTAATTAAAAAATGAGAAAAGATATCTTCTGCCTTATTATAAAAAACATGCAAAATATTCTATTAGTTACTGGTTACAAGTCATTACATGTTGTCATAGTTTGCTTTGATATTCATATCCTGTTTGATATTAACATGCCCTGAAAGAGACAATATTACTTGACCTATTGACCTATTTTTTAATCCTTTTCTACATTTTCTTATTCACTTGACTAAACATATCTACCAGCTCATAAGTACGGAAGTGGATTAAGAATGACAAATACCTAGAGAACAGTGGCTTGTATCTCTACAAAATGAAAACAGAACTGTTTGCATTATACTTTACATTATAAAATGCAAAGAGTATTATAAATTGCTGAGAAAAGTCATTATTTTTCATTTTTGTCATTTAATGTAAGTCATTTATCATTTGACATGAATAACTTTTCTCATTTTCGAAGAAATATTCAGAACTACCACGATCCTGAACAGTTTCTCAGAGAAAATAATTCTAATTCTAAGATACATAATTAATATCTTGGTGGTGTTTAATTTTAAAATGAAATATATGTCGTGTTAAATGAGGCAAGTCCACATTTTCAGGTACAGTATATTAGTGAGAAATTTTCCAAATATGTTGGTAAGGCATGTCAACATGTGTGACAAGAGTTATCTCCCTTTAATCCAAAACTCACAAACATGGCTTCATGTGAAGACATTGGAATACATGGTAGACAGTATGAAGATATTTAATTCATTTTATTTTGTCTCTTTTCCCACCCCATCCCCCAACACCAAACATATCCAGTAATTTGATAAGCAGGATGAGAAGTCTTTAGTTATTTCAAGATGGTCACAGAAGTATAATTAAAGTTATGATCGCTATCTCAACAAATAAATCAGCAAACTTATATTTCCAGTGCTTCAGAATACAAAATGGACTCAACTCTGACACATAATTTGACAGATAACTAGATTTTGCTATGATGAAACAATTATAATATAATTATAGCAAGCACTGTCAAATGTTAACTGTCTATAAAGTCAACAATTCAATAACGATGGTGGCAGCAAGATCAGTTGTCAGATTGTCTAATGTTAAGCTTTCAATATTGAATTATAACTAACACATCTTTGAGATTTCTGTCTCTATTGAAGTGCTCCATTCAATGTGTTAAGGTGATGCCTGAATGATTTTCTGTTTGTCATCAAAAGACACTAAAAGTTATTTTCTTCATTTTTTGTTAATGTTTTCTGTTCGGTTTTGAAAGTTGGTTTGTCTGCTCCAGATATGACCCCCAGTGTCTGTCTTTACATTGCTGTTTCAAGAGGGTAGATGTTGTGGTTAAAACGTTCTTCTGTCACGCCGAAGACCCAGGTTCGATTCCCCACATGGGCACAATATGTTAAGCCCATTTCAGGTGTCCCCTGCTGTGATATTTCTGGAATGTTGCTAAAACCGGCGTAAAACTAAACTCACTCACTCACTGTTTTAAGATATCCTACCCTTGGTTTTCCAGGGCCAGTATAGGTCCTCTGTACCACTTGCTTGTCATGGTCCCCAGCACCACTTGCTTGTCATGGTCCTCAGCACCACTTGCTTGTCATGGTCCTCAGCACCACTTGCTTGTCATGGTCCTCAGCACCACTTGCTTGTCATGGTCCTCAGCACCACTTTACTTGTCATGGTCCTCAGCACCACCACTTTCTTGTCATGGTCCTCAGCACCACTGGCTTGTCATGGTCCTCAGCACCACTTGCTTGTCATGGTCCTCAGCACCACTGGCTTGTCATGGTCCTCAGCACCACTGGCTTGTCATGGTCCTCAGCACCACTTGCTTGTCATGGTCCCCAGCACCGCGCTTGCTTGTCATGGTCCTCAGCACCACTTGCTTGTCATGGTCCTCAGCACCACTGGCTTGTCATGGTCCTCAGCACCACTGGCTTGTCATGGTCCTCAGCACCACTTGCTTGTCATGGTCCTCAGCACCACTTGCTTGTCATGGTCCCCAGCACCACTTGCTTGTCATGGTCCCCAGCACCACTGGCTTGTCATGGTCCTCAGCACCACTTGCTTGTCATGGTCCCCAGCACCACTTGCTTGTCATGGTCCTCAGCACCACTTGCTTGTCATGGTCCTCAGCACCACTTGCTTGTCATGGTCCTCAGCACCACTTGCTTGTCATGGTCCTCAGCACCACTTGCTTGTCATGGTCCTCAGCACCACTTGCTTGTCATGGTCCTCAGCACCACTTGCTTGTCATGGTCCTCAGCACCACTGGCTTGTCACCACTGGCTTGTCATGGTCCTCAGCACCACTGGCTTGTCATGGTCCTCAGCACCACTTGCTTGTCATGGTCCTCAGCACCACTTGCTTGTCATGGTCCTCAGCACCACTGGCTTGTCATGGTCCTCAGCACCACTGGCTTGTCATGGTCCTCAGCACCACTTGCTTGTCATGGTCCTCAGCACCACTGGCTTGTCATGGTCCTCAGCACCACTGGCTTGTCATGGTCCTCAGCACCACTTGCTTGTCATGGTCCCCAGCACCACTTGCTTGTCATGGTCCTCAGCACCACTGGCTTGTCATGGTCCTCAGCACCACTGGCTTGTCATGGTCCTCAGCACCACTTGCTTGTCATGGTCCTCAGCACCACTGGCTTATGTCGTGGTCCTCAGCACCACTTGCTTGTCATGGTCCTCAGCACCACTTGCTTGTCATGGTCCCCAGCACCACTTGCTTGTCATGGTCCTCAGCACCACTTGCTTGTCATGGTCCTCAGCACCACTTGCTTGTCATGGTCCTCAGCACCACTGGCTTGTCATGGTCCTCAGCACCACTGGCTTTGGTGTCATGGTCCCCAGCACCACTTGCTTGTCATGGTCCCCAGCACCACTTGCTTGTCATGGTCCTCAGCACCACTTGCTTGTCATGGTCCCCAGCACCACTTGCTTGTCATGGTCCCCAGCACCACTTGCTTGTCATGGTCCCCAGCACCACTTGCTTGTCATGGTCCCCAGCACCACTTGCTTGTCATGGTCCTCAGCACCACTGGCTTGTCATGGTCCTCAGCACCACTGGCTTGTCATGGTCCTCAGCACCACTGGCTTGTCATGGTCCTCAGCACCACTGGCTTGTCATGGTCCTCAGCACCACTGGCTTGTCATGGTCCTCAGCACCACTGGCTTGTCATGGTCCTCAGCACCACTGGCTTCTCATGGTCCTCAGCACCATGTATGAATAGGATCCAACTAATGAGGTGTTTCAACAAAGTCAATGTGTTGTCATAACAACCAGAGATTTAACACAGTTGTGTGCAGGTTATTCTGAGACAGCTAAAGGTTGGGCAGAGAAGTCCGTGTAGTTTTTGAAAAACATGACCATCAGCAGACTCTCCAGTCCTTGACAGTCCTTGTCTTATCAGCCAGATGTTATTTGATAAACTAATGACTGAAGCCTAATGATTGAACCAAAACATATCAGGATCACATGTACCTGGTATGATTTTGTTCACCCAAAATTTACTTTGCATGCTTAACCCTGACCCTTCAGCAACTCATGGATGCAAATGCAGATCTTATCTTACCTTAATTATACCTGTATGATGCAAAACATGTTACTGAATGTCCATCCTCAGTTCTTGGTCTTGTCCAGTCAGTTTGCAAACCCATGCATTTACTGATGGAACATGCATCAACATGTGGACCAAATAGAAACTTTGGGATCCGACATCTACTTATGGACCATATATATAGACTTTGGAAACCATGCATTTACTAATGGAACATGCATCAACATGTGGACCAAATAGAAACTTTGGGATCCGACATCTACTTATGGACCATATATATAGACTTTGGAAACCATGCATTTACTAATGGAACATGCATCAACATGTGGACCAAATAGAAACTTTGGGATCCGACATCTACTTATGGACCATATATATAGACTTTGGAAACCATGCATTTACTAATGGAACATGCATCAACATGTGGACCAAATAGAAACTTTGGGATCCGACATCTACTTATGGACCATATATATAGACTTTGGAAACCATGCATTTACTAATGGAACATGCATCAACATGTGGACCAAATAGAAACTTTGGGATCCGACATCTACTTATGGACCATATATATAGACTTTGGAAACCATGCATTTACTAATGGAACATGCATCAACATGTGGACCAAAAGAAACTTTGGGATCCGGCATCTACTTATGGACCATATATATAGACTTTGGAAACCATGCATTTACTAATGGAACATGCATCAACATGTGGACAAATAGAAACTTTGGGATCCGCATCTACTTATGGACCATATATATAGACTTTGGAAACCATGCATTTACTAATGGAACATGCATCAACATGTGGACCAAATAGAGGCTTTGGGATCCGGCATCTACTTATGGACCATATATATAGACTTTGGAAACCATGCATTTACTGATGGAACATGCATCAACATGTGGACCAAATAGAACCTTTGGGATCCGACATCTACTTATGGACCATATATATATAGACTTTGGAAACCATGCATTTACTAATGGAACATGCATCAACATGTGGACCAAATACAAACTTTGGGATCCGACATCTACTTATGGACCATATATATAGACTTTGGAAACCATGCATTTACTAATGGAATATGCATCAACATGTGGACCAAATAGAAACTTTGGGATCCGACATCTACTTATGGACCATATATATAGACTTTGGAAACCATGCATTTACTAATGGAACATGCATCAACATGTGGACCAAATAGAAACTTTGGGACCATGCATTTACTTAAGGAACAGGCATCCACTTATGGACCATATTTAACCTGCATATACTTATGCAGCAAATGGGTTCTTTTGGACCATGGGTAAACTGACTGACCAGGATCTGTTTAGTGACCATATATATGGATGCATCAACTCCTTGACAAAAGATGATACTTGTAGAACATGCATGTACTTTCAACTATGGATATGCCCATGGACCATGCATCTTCCTTTGACCATGGTTATATCGCTTGGTATATGTACCATTGATAAGCTAAGAGACCATGGATTTCAATATAAGGTCAATGACCATTGGTATATGCATGTACCATTGATTACCTAAGGTCAATGGATTTTAATATCGACCATTGGTATATGCATGTACCATTGATTAACTAAGGTCAATGGATTTTAATATCGACCATTGGTATATGCATGTACCATTGATTACCTAAGGTCAATGGATTTCAATGTCGACCATTGGTATATGCATGTACCATTGATTACCTAAGGTCAATGGATTTTAATATCGACCATTGGTATATACATGTACCATTGATTACCTAAGGTCAATGGATTTCAATATCGACCATTGGTATATGCATGTACCATTGATTACCTAAGGTCAATGGATTTTAATATTGACCATTGGTATATGCATGTACCATTGATTACCTAAGGTCAATGGATTTTAATATCGACCATTGGTATAATCGTGGATCATTGATAGCATAGGGACCATGGATTTTCGTTTGGACCATGGGTATACGCTGATAAGGTAAGGGCCATAGATACACTCAAGGACCATGCATCTCAGGAAATGGAGGAATGCTGTCTTTAACTAGTGTTGTTTTATTCATACCCGTCAGGTGGCCATCTGCTTATGCTGTCTTCTCGCAGGACAGTTTGATTTCCTACCAAGCAACCTTACAAAGTTAATACTCGTACTATGGAACTATGTTTAGTTAAGTAGGTAGTGCGCTGATTTGCGAATTCCATGCCCTGGTTCAAATGTCAACTTGGTTGTGTTAAAGCCATACATGGCCACAGCTTGTCTGCTTCTAGTGACACGTGACACTACAAGGCCAGATCGCAATGCAGTTAGTGTGACGCATCGATGGCACAAAGAGCTCCTAGCCTGAATTAAAAATACAACCACCGACACATGATTTATGATTTTATTCTAATTATGCGATACTGATCATCTTTACCATTTGACGTTTAAAACATATCTATCTTTAAAATTTTAATGTCATGATATGTCTGTCTACAAACGCGCAATGAATGCTCTCTCTGTGGTACCCATATTGTTTGTTTCTTGTCCCAAACAGCTATTGTCTGAATTCAATGGCATAACATTAAGCATGTCCTGAAGACTTGAGAAGTATCATTGTGACCGCCAGGGAATGGAATCACCTGGAAAATTACATGTCTTCTCGAAAGAG